AGTGATATACTGCTTACAGCGTGGTACAGAAATAACTTGTTTTTCCATAACTACGTCACCACCTTAACACCTCCCCCTCACACACACACACACACTTTTCCTCTTAACTGGAATTGTGCCAGGATAAAGATAACTTCTTTCTAAAGAAAAGAAGTTTTGACTTGGAGGTTTGAAAGACACTGGTGCATCATGTCTTCCTGTTAATAATATTTATGACAACATCAACAATAAGAACAGCAATAATTAATCCAAATATTTACTATGATTTTTGGTCCCTATACAAATGTCTCTGTTAATGCAAGGAAAGTCAACACACGATACAAGACAGATGTGACCTCCACACTTTTCAGGTTTTACCTTTTTCTAATTAAGAAATGTCTGTATGAACTTGGATGGTCCGAGTGTTACATTTAGTACAATTCCCCTTCCCAAAATTTCATTTTTTTCTAGTTTCAAGTTTCTTTCAGCAAAGCATTAAGGATAATACAATTCCATGGATTTTTAAATTAGTCAAGGTGCTCCTCATGTCATTCTGTATTGTTCTTACATACAAATTGAAAAACATGAATTTTGAGTCTCGTACTGAAGTACTTAATTACAGGATGAAATCATACTGAAATCTGTCTAAAGCACCAAGCATTGCCTGACAGCGACAGAGAATCATTTTACCTCTTTTAAGTAGGTTATCAGAGCTCAAATGATTTCTTTAAAGATATGTTTATGCAATATAAAAGGCATTGTTTTATTCAACTATATTACAGTTCATAGTAGGAAAAAAAAAATCATGATCTTCATCCACTACAGCACTATTCACTAGGAAACAGAATGTCACACTGCGGCCATTATATGAAATTTCATTATTTTATCAGGTAAAGCAGCCACCTAGTGGCTACTCTTTACAGTACTCAGACAAACACAGGACCAGAAACTTAAAGAGATGCTGAGAACTGGCAACTTTCACTGATGCCCCTTTGGGAAATGAAGAACTAAAGGCATCAGTGTTTCATCTTTGCCAGCAGACTTATCTTAAACATTTGGAAAAAAGACAAAAGGGTACGAATAGAAGTATGCTGTTTTTTTCAGTTTGGTCGTTACTGGAATTTTTTAGGTTTTGGTCTAGGTTGTTGCTTTCTATTTTTTTTCTTTTTTCCCTTAAATTAAAAAAAAAAGATATTAAAGAGAGATCAGCCGTGAGCTTGAGTCTCTCTAACATGCTATTGTGAAACATGCATTAAGAGATTGTTCATATAAATATAAAAGCAGTTATAAACAAATAGTCTTTTAAAAATAATCTTTTATAAAGGACACAGTAAGGATAGGTATTTTTTTGGAAACGAGGATTACATACCGTATAATATACATATACATCCCTTCCTCCAGGCTCAAGATCTGTGCATCCCTCTGAGGAAGAAGTCCAGCAAAGAGGGCAGGAGACCTGCATGGATGAGCAAGGAACTCCTGGAAAAGCTCCAACAGAAGAAGGAAGACTACAGAATGTGGACAAGGGGACAGGCCACTTGGGAGGAATACAGG